GCCCGACGACTTCTGGCCGCCGCAGCCCAAGCTGTACAAGGTGAGTGGCCACGCTGCCCGGCCTCACCGGCGGCCAGGTGGGGTGGGCCGCGGACCACCATGGCGGCTGGTGCCACATTGTGGACAGAACAGCTGAGCCAAGATCTGGAGGCTGGCTCTGAGGCCACCAGCAGAGTGTGGGCTGTGTTTCCTGGAAGGAGCTGCAGAGGGAGGCTGAGTGCCTGGGTGCTAGGCCTGAGAACCTGGCCTTCATTCTGTAGGCGACACGAAGCCATGGAGTGTCTGAGCAGAAAAAGGACAAGTTAGAAAATTAGAAACAATAGTAAATTCTGGAGCAAGTAGGCAGGAAAAGAACCATTTAAAGTCCTTCCACTGATAGGGTGCCCTTAAAATGGCCTTGGAGTGGAGGGACGAAACGAAGGCCCAGAGAGGAGAGGCAGTGGACCCGAGTGCACACACCAGGCAGTGCCAGGCTCCAAGTCAGGACTGGTTGTGGGCGGGGCTTGTGTCCCCAGACCCCGCCCCTAGAGCACTCACCTTCCTCCTGCTAGGTGGGCCTGGGCCTGGGCTACCTGGAGCTGCCGCAGATCAACTACAAGCTGTCAGTGGAGCATAAGAAGCCGCCCAAGGTGGAGCTGATGCCCGGGATGCGGCTGGTGAGACGCACAGGGAGGAGGCGAGCGGGCAGGACCCTCCCCTCTGGCCCAGCACTGGCTGACCCCCGCTCTGGCCCCCAGCTGCAGAGCCTGCTGGACACGCGCTGTGTCTACATCCTGGACTGTTGGTCCGACGTGTTCATCTGGCTCGGCCGCAAGTCCCCACGCCTGGTGCGCGCCGCCGCCCTCAAGCTCGGCCAGGAGCTGTGCGGAATGCTGCACCGACCCCGTTACGCCATGGTCAGCCGCAGCCTTGAGGGCACTGAAGCACAGGTAGCAGTGCGGTCCAGCTGTGCGAGCCACACCCTCCCCCCTTCCGGCCTCCTCCCCGGGATTCTGAGAATCCCTCACAGCCCAGACCCTCTGAGTCACTACTGTCCTGCTGGGCTGAGCCCAAGCCCACCGCTTCTGTGCTGCTGCTAGGCCCCGCCCCTCCAGCTCCTCTCGGGCTTCCCAGTCCCCCTTCCCTTGGACTCCACCCCTCCCGGACCTGCTCCTCCCACTTCTGGTGTCTAGACTCCACCTTCACACCCCATCTACTTCCACTGCAGCCTTAACTGCTGACCCTCACTCGTGTTTCTCCCCTTGGCAGGTGTTCAAAGCCAAGTTCAAGAATTGGGATGACGTGTTGACGGTGGACTACACACGCAACGCAGAGGCCGTGCTGCAGGGCCAGGGGCTTGCCGGGAAGGTGAAGCGTGACGCCGAGAAGAAAGATGAGATGAAGGCCGACCTCACTGCACTCTTCCTGCCGAGGCAGCCGCCCATGGCGCTGGCAGAGGTGGGGGCGGGGCCTCGGGTATAGGACGCGGGCGGGCCTGAGTGGTGGGGCGGGGCCTAGGTGGTGGGCGGGGCCTGGGCGGTGGGGCGGGCCTGGGTGACGGCCCATGCTGAATGGATGCGGCTGCCCTGGGCCCTGGGAGGAGGCTCTGCGCAGCCCCTGCCCAGGAGGAGGGCCAGCTCCAGAGGCCCACCGGCGGGTGGGGTCACACGCAGGCCGAGCAGCTGATGGAGGAGTGGAACGAGGACCTGGATGGCATGGAGGGCTTCGTGCTGGAGGGAAAGAAGTTCGCTCGGCTGCCCGAGGAGGAGTTCGGCCACTTCTACACGCAGGACTGCTACGTCTTCCTCTGCAGGTGCCGTCCCCTGGCGCCTCCCTGGCCCAGCCTCCACTCTGAGCCCCTGCTCACTGCCCTCTGACCTGCAGGTACTGGGTCCCTGTGGAATACGAGGAGGAGGAGAAGGAAGAGAGAGAGGAGAAGGCCGGGGCCGAGGGCGGAGAAGGCGAGGCGGCGGTGGCCGAGGCAGACAAGCAGCCTGAGGAGGACTTCCAGTGCGTCGTGTACTTCTGGCAGGGCCGCGAGGCCTCCAGCATGGGCTGGCTCACCTTCACCTTCAGCCTGCAGAAGAAGTTCGAGAGCCTTTTCCCTGGCAAGCTCGAGGTGCGCCCGCCTGCCCTACGCGCAGCGCCACACCCCCCAGCCCGGGGCGGCGGGGGTGTCTGTGGGACTGGGGCTCAGACCCGAGGAGGCTTGGCCCATGAAGGTAGGGGGGTTCCACGAAGCTGCCCCTGACACTCCCATACACACAGGTGGTGCGCATGACGCAGCAGCAGGAGAACCCCAAATTCCTGTCCCACTTCAAGAGGAAGTTCATCATCCACCGGGGCAGGAGGAAGGCGGCTCAGGGTGCCCTGCAGCCCAGCCTCTACCAGATCCGAACCAACGGCAGCGCCCTCTGTACCCGGTGCCTGGCTGGGGAGAGGCGCAGGTGGGCAGGTGGGCTCAGTGAGCCACCCTGACTCCTTGCTAACCCCCCCTTCCTCTTCCTCTTTCTATCCCCCCCCAGGTGCATCCAGATAAACACCGACTCCAGCCTCCTCAACTCCGAGTTCTGCTTCATCCTCAAGGTGGGGTTGTGGAAATGACCAGCACTGTGGGTCCGGGTGGGGGTTGCAGGGTAGGCCTGACCTGAATCCTCTGCATACTCCCAGGTTCCCTTCGAGAGTGAGGACAACCAGGGCATCGTGTACGCGTGGGTGGGCCGGGCGTCAGACCCGGACGAGGCCAAGCTGGCGGAGGACATACTGAACACCATGTTTGAGGCCTCCTACAGCAAGCAGGTGACCAGGCAGGCAGTGGCCATGGGCCAGCGAGGCAGGTAGGGACCCTGAGCTGAGCCACCCTCTCACCCGCAGGTCATCAGCGAAGGCGAGGAGCCTGAGAACTTCTTCTGGGTGGGCCTGGGCGCGCAGAAGCCTTATGACGACGATGCCGAGTACATGAAGCACACCCGGCTCTTCCGGTGAGGCTGGCCAGACCTCCCCGCTTCCTCCTGCGCCCTGGGACTGCTGCTGGGGACGCTGACTCTTTGCCTGACCTTGGCCCCCAGGTGCTCCAATGAGAAGGGTTACTTCGCAGTGACTGAGAAGTGTTCTGACTTTTGCCAAGATGACCTGGCAGATGATGACATCATGTTGTTAGACAACGGCCGAGAGGTGAGGCCCCTGCCAACCCTGCCCATTCAAGGAGCCCAACCCTTCGTGGGAACCCTTAGCCCAGAAGTCCCCCTGAGACCACCTCCCGTCTTACCCACAGGTCTACATGTGGGTGGGCACCCAGACGAGTCAGGTGGAGATCAAGCTGAGTCTGAAAGCCTGCCAGGTGAGCTGGGTGGGGGAGGGCAGAGCCGGCCCGAATGGCCTGGAAGGCCTGCCCAAGCCTCACGCATGTCCTGCCACAGGTGTACATCCAGCACATGCGCGCCAAAGAGCACGAGCACCCCCGCCGCCTGCGCCTGGTCCGCAAGGGTAACGAGCAGCACGCCTTCACCCGCTGTTTCCACGCCTGGAGCACCTTCCGGAAGGCCCTGGCCTAGAGCAGCTGCCGCCCACCTGCAGTGCCCCTGCTGTCCTGCCCGTGCCACAGCCCCCCCGCAGCTCAGCCCGAGTGACAATGGGGCACCCTGTCTGGCAATTAGACTCCTCCGGTGTGAGCCCCTCCCTGCCAGGGATAAAGGACACGGTTGCCTTTAAGAGATATTAAATGCTTTTATTTTCAATATTAAAAATCAGCATTTTTCATATTAAAACAAGGCTAATGTTAACAAAATTACAGAAAACCCCCAAGGTACAATCTACAGGGAAACCCATCCTGACCCCACATAACGCATACCTGACTGGGCCCCCGTCCTGGGTGCCAAGGGAGCTCCCAGTCTCTCTCTCTCTCTCTCTCTCTCTCACACACACACACACACACACACACACACACACACACTCATGTAGAGGGTGGGAGGAGGACATGCTAGCCCAGGAACAAGTACCAAAATAGTTTTAGAAACGAGTGTCCAGCCCAGCACTGTCCAGTCCAGGCATTAGAAAAATATTCTTTGCAAAAGGAGGGGAAGGCTGGTGTGTGGAGTAGGTGGCATGGGCTGCCAGCCCAGCTGTCCTTCCCTGTGGCACCGGCTTCCAGGTTCGCCTGTAGGAGAGGCCAGTCCAAGACCCCAGAGTCCCAGGCCCACACCCTGGGGCCCACACGGGCAGGTGCCTCGGTCCACAGGTTAGCAGGCACAGCTGTGCGAAGGGCCGGGAGGAGACACAGATCCGGATCCCAGCTCCAAGCAAGGCAGTGCAGCTGGGCAGCTCTGGCTCCCTGGAGAGGAAGAGAAGGGTCAGCAGAGGTCCAGGGAGGCCAAAAGGGCAGACAACCTGGCTCCTTGGCTGCCACCTATCAGGCTCCTCCAGGTAGGCAAAGGGCCGAACCCCCCCCCCCCCCCCCAATCTCTGGGTGAGGACCCTGCTGCAGTAACTGCTTGAAGGCTGGCCAAGCCTCAGTGTGACCCACTCTGGCTGGGGTGTCCCCAGCAAGAAACAGCTGGGGTCTGCACCTGATTGGGGGGTGGGGTGGAAGCTCTAGGTAGCAAATAGGGTGGGTAGGCTTATGAGCCCCACGTGGACAGGGCCACACTGAGGCTGGAGTGGTGGCCAGTCTCAGGCCAGGCCCCGTTCTCCAGGCTCAGCCCACAGGGCCCCGCCTTGTGCCTGGGTGATCTCAGCTGCTGAAATGAGCTAGCCGAACCTCCCCCCACCCCGAGTCCAAACTGCCACCACCTCTTGTTCCAAACACAACCTATGACACCCAGGGGCTGGCAGGCTGGCTGTTTAATACGAAACAGTGCAGATCCCATCTGTGGGCCCCGAGCCCTGCGGGCACAGCCTGGAGAGCAGCAGGCTTCGGAGCACTGGCGTCCCAGGGGCCTGCTGGGCTCCGATGGGAAGGCAGGCGGCCCCTGGGATTGAGGCAGGGAACCCAGCAGACCCAGAGTGGCTACACATGCAGCACCTCATTTAATCAGGATGGCACAGGCTCGAGCCTCGTCTTCCACCAGGTTCCTCAGGTTCTTCTCCGCCTCCTCCGAGGAGCTGGGGGAGGGGGCGGCGATCAGGACTTGGGTGAGGCCCCCCCTCGGTCCCGAGTGCCCAGCTCAGACCTGAGGGTGGGGGAGGGAGGCTGGGGAGCCGAGGCAGCCCTTCTGTGGATCCTGCCCGCCCACCTCACCCCAGGAAATCCTGCACATCCTCCACCGTGATGTCCCCTGTCGTGTCCAGAGTGGTGTCAGCACTGATGGCCGAGTCAACGGACATGGGTGAGAGCGTGGCCTCGGGCCGCTCTGGGGTGCCTGCAGGGAGGAAACGGTCAGGCCTGTTAGGACCTCTGGGGCCCTCTGTACCTGGGGACCAGGCCCCAAACCAGCCATAGCAGGATGTGGCAGTTCTGAACCCCCTGCCCCTGTCTGGCCTGGTGCACCCTCCCCAGCGTTCCAGCTGCGCCTCCTGCAGAAGCTCCGTCAGGCTGGCTGGCTGGGTCCTGCCACCCATTCCGTGCCCAGCACTCACCAGCTTTTGTGCCGCTGACAGGATTAGGGCTTCCATCACGGCTCTGTGGGGCCAAGAGGATGCCGGGGGTCCCGTTAGCCTGGCTCAGCTTGGGCGACTCTTGGAGTTTGTAGCTGCAGAGACAGGGCCATGATGGGGTCACAGCCAGGCACCTCAAGGCTCAAAGGACCAAAACCCCTGTCCTCGCATCCTGAGACCTGGGACTACAGAGTGCTGACACCGGGGAGGGCCGCCCTTGCTCCATGCAGGATCTGGGGTTGGGGCCACAGCAGCCTTGACCAGACCTCCACGCACCTGGCCTGGGCAGCACCGTGGGACCAGCTGATGTCCAGAGCGCAGAGCGGCTCTGTGATGTTCCGGGCACTGAGGGAGAAGCGTTCGAACTCCGAGGGTGAAATCAGGTAAAAACCTGGGTGGGCGGGAGAGAAGGAGCCAAGAGTGAAGTCAGGAGACGGTTCCACCCACACGTGCTGACGGCCCTCCCGCCCCCTGGCCGGTGCTGTGCCCCACTGGGCACCCCTCCGCCGCTGCTCTCGGGAACACTCCGCCTGGGCCCTTGTCCCAGAGCCTTCCCTCACCCTGGCCGTGGCGCGTGAAGACACAGGAGGCGATGCCGCTGATGTCTTCCTTCCGGACGCAGGAGTAGTGCACCTGGGGCCTCAGGCCCGGCACCGAGAAGATGTGCACATCGCCCAGGTTGGTGAGGCAGGCCAGGCAGGTCTCGGCGTAGTCCTCGCAAGCCACGCTGGCGAACGTGGCCAGTGCCACCTTGCGCACACGACAGCCCTCATGGGCTGTCAGCTTGAACTTGGTCTTGGCGCTCACCTTGGGTAATGTGAACACCTGGCAGCGGGCAGATGACCAGTGAGCACAGCCTGGTCCGGTCCACACCCCCAGCCCCGACGCAGAGCCCAGCCTGCCAACAGGCCCTGCCCCTGGCCACTAGCACCTCTGCCTGCACACCCTCCCCCTGGAGCTGCCCTCCTGTCCTGGCCCGGCTCCACACTGCTCCTACAGCCTCCCAGGCCCTTCCCTCAGAACCTGGCAAAACCAGTCACGCTGGGTTGTGAGGGTTAGCTGGCTGGTATGCCCCACACCAGGACCTCCTGCCAGGGCCCAGAGGAGTGGGTCAGGGGTTCTGGTGGGGACCCAGTGGGTAAGCTGAGGGAGTTATCGGGGTTCTGCAGGAGCACCTCCGCTGGCTGGTGGGTCCTGCGGGGGGCTCAGCAGGTAAGGAATAGTCAGGGCAAGAGTTCTAGGGTCCCGTGGTATCTGGGAGGCAGCAGCCTGGCGGAATCCGCAGCAGCTCACCTTGAACTGCTCCTCAGACGCGATGAGCACTGCGTGGCCACCCTGCATGTCGGGCGCCTGGGCCAGGTCCTGGGAGGCCTCGAAGGGCTCAGGCAGCGGGCGGCCGCGCCCATCCAACACGGCAATGGCCACCACGGGCGCACGATGCATCAGCTGCACCTCCTTGCCCAGCACAGCCTCCACCGCTCGCTCGCCCCGCTTCTCGCTGCCTGCCACTGCCAGCGGCACCTCCAGCGCGTAGGCAAACACAGAGCCCGAGTTGGTGCCTGCCCACATGGTGGGTCCGTGGTGGGCCGCTGTGGGGCAACAGGCTGTGAGGGCAGGCATCAGCCCCTACACAGCAGATCCCGCCCCTCCGCTCCTGCACGGACCCAGGTCTGCTTCTCTCCTGCTCCACTTCGGGGTGACCCCAGCCAGCTCCGTCGCCTTGGGCACCCTCTCCAAACTGCTGACCACAACCCGAGCTCGGACACCACTCTCCTAAAGAGGCACCTCCGCGGAGACGCCAACGGCACACAAACTGGACCCTGGCCTCTCCAACCCCGCCCACGGCACCCTCAGCCCCATTACAGAGCCCCCTCTCTCCCACCCCCACATCCCCTTACTAGCCCTAGCAACACACTCAGAATAGGGTCCTCACCCCAAAGGTGCCTCAGGGTCCCAACCGCACCCCGATTCACTCCCACCCTCCAGTGTGTCCGGGCAGCAGACACCACGTCCCAGGCCTGGGCTAAAACGAGCTGGGACCATCTCGCCTCTCGCCCCGTGTGAGCCGAACCTCTGGGGAGACCCTTTAGTGGGGAATCCCAGCTAGAGAACCGGCGCCGAGGTGGGCCAGCCCTGGAGGAACGGCGACCTCAGCAACAAGCATCGGGGAGCCGAACCCCAGCAACAAGGCATTGAGCACTCACACCACCCCCAGCCAGCCAGGACGGAGCCCCACGGGCCTTCTTACGGTGACTGGCGGAGCCCCCCAGGCTGCCACATCCAAACGGGAAAATCCACGGGATAAAGGACCCCCGACAACACCAGAGGGGGCCTCGCTCACCCACAGGCTAAAAGACACATCACTGAAATGCCCCCTGCAGGCTGGAGGTGGACACAGCACCAACCCTAAAAGGCACTTTTAAGAAGAAAGGAGACAGAGCCACCCCCAGAATCAGAATCCGCTGCCCGGGGCGCAATGCGGGCGGGCACCTCGCTGTAGGTCACAGCTGTCAGACACAAACTCAAGTCCCCCGCTGGTTCCAGTTAAAACACTCCGGCAAAAGGAGCGACAGAGCACAGGTGACTACTCTCTGGTGAGTGGAGGGTTCAAGTCCCAGTATGTGAGTTAGAAACGGACCGATGAATTAATAAACCTGGCGACCCATTTCTGTGTGAGGCCGCTCAGGGGCCGGCCAGCTGGGGTAAGGCCAGCTTTTTGGCGGGGCAGACAGCACAGACCCTCGCGGATCCCTCCCTCCCTGCTGACGGGCCGTGCGGCATTCCCGCCCCAAACCCTGAGCTCTCAGTCTGAGGTCCTGTGGCTCCCCTCCGACCCCTTCCAGCAGGAATCCTGGGGGGACTGTGTGGCTGGCCCGCACCTTGCCGCCGGTGCCGCCTGGAGGCACAGTAACGCCTTCCAACCCCCTGCCCCACCGCCCGTCTCCTGGATGGCCAGCTGAGGCCCGCTCCGTTCCCCAGCCCGCCCCGCCCGGGCCTCACCGTCGCGAAGAAACGTGTCGGCGAAGTAGAGGCAGCGCACCACGCCCGAGAGGGAGTCGTCGGCCGAGCGGGGCTCGATGCGCCGCTGCACGGGGGTCATCTCCACGTCGTGGGGGCAGGCCTGCTCCGCCAGCTGCGCGTTGGCCTCCTGCAGCTGGGGGACGTGGGGCTCCAGGACGCTGTCCTCCCCCTCAGAGCCCAGCACCCACTGCCCAGCACCCTCCCAGCTCACCCGACCGCCCAGGGGCTGAAGGCTACTGAGGGGGGCAATAGAGGCGCAGACACAGGGCACCGGCCAGGGCCAGGCCTGGCTCCATGTCTACCCACCGCCGAGGGGTGCTGCCCGCAGCCTGGCCCCGCTCACCTTGCTGTTGGTGTTAACAGCCCGTTTCTTGCCCGAGACGCGGCTCTTACGGATGCGCCGGAAAGACTGGCGCAGGGACTTCTTGAGCGACTTCACCCTGGAGAGCGGCCCCTCCATCGCCAGGGAGTCGTTGGGGTGAAGCGTGCACCTGGGGGCAGACGGGCCGCTGGGTGCAGAGCAGCCTCTGTGCTCCTGCTGCCCGGGGCCGGGCATTAAGGGTCCCCGCCCCGCCGCCCCGGCACCGGGGGGCTCGGCGCTCCGCCAGCAGCCCTCCACTAAGGTCAGCGCTGCGACTGCGCTGGAGCCGCCTCACCGCAGGCTGACAGGAAGCGGAGGCCCGGCTGGGGGCGGGACACATCGGAGGTCCCACAGAGCGGGGCCAGCTGGGCGGACAGACCCTCCTCAGGCTGCAGGCCGCACCCACGCACCTGGCCAGCACAGGGCTCTTGCGCTGGTAGTCGAAGAGACCAAAGCCGTGACTGGTGCCAAAGGCCACGAGGCTCCACTCCGTGTGCAGTGTGACGGCGGTGACGGCGGCTGGGGGCAGGCACTGAACCAGCACCCGGGGCTGGAAGCCGGCGGGCCAGGGCAGGGGCCCCGTGCGCGGGCTCAGCCGCTCGTGGCCCTTCCACGTGAAGCCCTCTCGGTCCTGGAGGAGGTCCATGCTGGCCATGCTGACCGCCTGCTCCGATGGCACGTCGCTGAGCTCCAGCACCAGCACCTGAGCCCGCAGCCAGGGCAGGGAGGGATCAGCACAGAGGATGGGCCACCATGCCCCCTGAGCCTGCAGTCACTGTCAGGGAGGCCCCAGGGTTGTCTCATTTATCCACTGAGCAAGCACTTACTGAATGCCTACTGTGCCCTGGGGCTGCACGGAGGAATAGTGACGACAAGACCCACTGGTCGCTGCCCTGCTAGGGCAAAGCACCCCCCACCACGCCTGTCTCCCATTTCACAAAAGCACCACTGAGCCCGCCGTGTACTGAGTGCTGGAGAACAGCACTGGCCACGCCCTGCTGGTCCCTGCCCTTCCAGGGCTCACCTAACACCCGCGCGCCGGCCTGGCCCCAGGCCTCAGCTCCCCTGCAGCCAGAGTGCGGTCTCCCACCTCCATGCCGGTCCCTCTACCACTTCACCAGACGCTCCAGTTGAGGCACGTCTCTTCCAAAAACCCCTCCCAACCCCCCAACCCCGAGGACGCCGGCTAACCTGGCCTGCAGTGCCGGCCACCACCATCTGCGCCGTGTACTTGCAGAGGGCCACCTTCTGCACCCCGAGTCGGGGGTCGTCACTGTAGGGGTCAAAGCAGCCCACCTGGGGAGTGGGGTGGAGTGAGGACGCAGGGCAGAGCGGGGGCGGGCTCCCGGGGCGGGCTCCCGGGGCGGGGCGGGGCGGGGCCCACCTTGCGGAAGGGCGGCCAGTCGTCCTCGGGGGCCTGGGCCAGGCAGTCGGCGTGCTCGCAGTCTGTCTGGAAGAGGCCCGCTGTGCTCAGCTTGTAGAGCGGCCGCAGTGCCACGCCCGAGGCGTCCCAGAACCGCACAGTGCCGTCCTCGTGGCTGCAGGAGGAAGCCATCAGCCCACACCGGGCCCCCCTCCATCCTCCCTCCACTCATCACTGAGCACCACTGCACAAGCCGAACACTGCCCAAACGCCTGCTGTGGACAGCAAATAGGAAGCACCTACTGAGTGCAGACTATACGGCAGGCCACACGCACCTGGGCCCTTCAAACAGGCTGAGCGTTGTAGAAACAATCGCCAGGGTGGTGAGCAGGAAGTGGAAGAGGGGAGATCCGGGGAGCAGAGGACTCAGGGGTTCTGTCCTCACTGGGTCACCCAGCAAAAGGTCACAGAGCAGAGGGGTCAGCTGTGCCCAAGGCAGCAGCAGGAGCAGGGAGGCCAGCAGAAAGCAGGGATGGGGAGGCAGGAGCAGGGAGGCCAGCAGAAAGCTAGGGGGGCGGGCAGGAGCAGGGAGAGGGGAGGCGGGAGCAGGGAGGCCAGCAGAAAGCAGGGAGAGGGGAGGCGGGAGCAGGGAGGCCAGCAGAAAGCAGGGAGAGGGGAGGCGGGAGCAGGGAGGCCAGCAGAAAGCAGGGAGAGGGGAGGCGGGAGCAGGGAGGCCAGCAGAAAGCAGGGGAGGATGGGGGAGAGGCAGAAAGCAGGGAGAGGGGAGGCGGGAGCAGGGAGAGGGGAGGCGGGAGCAGGGAGGCCAGCAGAAAGCAGGGAGAGGGGAGGCGGGAGCAGGGAGGCCAGCAGAAAGCAGGGAGAGGGGAGGCGGGAGCAGGGAGGCCAGCAGAAAGCAGGGAGAGGAGAGGCGGGAGCAGGGAGAGGGGAGGCGGGAGCAGGGAGGCCAGCAGAAAGCAGGGAGAGGGGAGGCGGGAGCAGGCAAACCTGGGGCGTTGCCAGGTGGGAAGCCCTGGCATGAGGAGCAGAAGTGGGGCTGGACGGGAAGCCCCAGTGGCCCCGAAAGCCGTGATTAACAGTTTCCAAGCAGGAGAGGGAGGCGGCCAGGCCATGACTCCCAGCACAGGCAGGCAGAGGGGCAGGGCAGGAAGTCAGCCTGAGTCACGGCACCGGCAGGCCCAGGCCGGGCTCTTCGGCACCGTCCTGGGCAGCTCGCAGAGGCAGCCCAGACTTTCCGGTCCCAGGGCAGGCTAGGTGATGGAGCTCAGTTCCAGGCCCAGGACCCAGAGGGAGGGGCCTGAAACAGGGTCTAAGGAAGTTACAAGCCAGCCCTCCCTCCTGAAGGGGAACCCGGTCCCACAGGGGCCAGGCCTGAGTCACTGGGCAGGTCAGTACCCGCCTCTCTAGGCTGGGCTCTCCCACACCCGGTCCCACTAGCGCACACACACACACTCACACACGTCACAACTGTGCTTGGCCACGGGGCTAGTGTGCCCTACCCAGTCAGCAGCAGCCCTCGCTGAGAAGGTTCCTGGGCCAGGTTCCGGCCCCCGGTGATGGGCCAGCTCTGGGAGGGGACGAAGATGTCAGTGGAGGTCAGGACAAATTCTCCTCCCTTTTACCCTGGCTGACACCCAGGACCCAAACTGCTTCTGAGCCCAAAGTACACCTGCACATCCCACCTCCAGCTCTGCACTGGCTGCACCTCTCACAGGGACACCCTCCCCCCGGGGGGCGGCGAGGAGCCGCGCGCGCGCGCGCACACACCGAGGCCCCGGCGGCAGGCGGGGCGCTCTGCTGCTCCCCCGCGCTCACGATGCGGGCCCACAGCTTGGCGGGGACGTTGGCCACGTGGGCGGCGCAGGTGATGGCAGACGAGTGCAGCGGCGCCAGGTAGGGGGCAGGCAGCACCGGCCAGCCAGGCACCTGCAGGTCCAGCACCACCAGCTCTTCTTCCAGCAGCACAGCCAGGGCCTGGGGCTCGTCGAACTCTGCGGAAGGGCAGGGTGAGGAGCACGGCCGGGCGGCGCCGAGGGCCAGGCCGGGGAGGGCAACGCACCATCCTCGGGCCGCGCGCTGTGCACCGTGAAGAAGTCGATGATGCGGGAGGTGAAGTCCAGCGTCACCAGGGTGTCGGCCCGGAGCACGCTCACACAGTGGCGGTCGCCGTAGCTGGCACGGGGCATGCCGCCGCTAAAGATGATAAAGTGACCCCTACACGGGGGGGAGGGGGGGGCGTGAGCCGCCTGGGCCTGGAGCTCACCCGCCCAATCCAGAGAGCGCGGCACAGGACAGCCCCGAGGCCGAGCCGCCCGCCCGCCGGACCGCCCGCCGCCCGCCCGGGACCAGCTCCCACCTACCCCGAGGCACAGTCCCGCCATAGGATCTTGCTGATGGCTTTGCAGGGAAAGGGGCCTGCAGGGACGGACAGCGTCAGCTCTGTGCTTGCCAGGACTGAAGAGCCTCAGGTCGCATCTCTCACCCCCTCTCCCACCCTGCCCGCTTCACTCCTGCTGCAAAGCTGCTCCTGCCTCCCAGGGAGGAGCCCACTGCCCCTGACTGCACAGCCACGGTGGAGGGGTGTCTCCGCCTCGCAGATCTGGCACGGCGCTGCCACCTTCCACAAGTCCCCCTGCATGCCCCCGTGAGTGCCAGAGCTCGGGATCGACACTCGTGAGAGCCCTTTGCTTAGGGAGCAGGGGCTGCCCTCAGCCTGCCCAGCACTCACCGTAGGGCATGGTGGCTGCTGTAGGCTGTGTTACTGGAGAGCTGCCAGTGTCCGCGGACCAGATGGCATAGCTGCCATCGCTGTGCGAGCTGACCAGCCTGCTGCCGCTGCGCGCCCAGCACAGGCTCTCCAGCTGCTGTGGGCAGAGCAGGTGGCATGAGCAGACAGCACGGCAGAGGGCCCGGCCGTGGGCACCGTCCCCCCCACAGACCTGGTTCCCCAGGAAGACGCGGTCTGCACACTGTGCCGCCTGGTTCCAGATGACCAGCAGGCCCCGGCTGTAGCCGATGAGGATCCGGGTAGGGTCCCGCACGTGTCCTTGCAGGGACTCCACGGGGCCCAGGGCCTTGCCGCACCGGTAGTCATCGGGCACACTGCGGAGGAAGCCAGTGAGCCGGCAGGAGAGCCGTCCGCGGTGGGTGTGGGAAGCCCGCCTGCCTCTCACCTTCGCAGAACCTCCTCGGGGCCCAGGGTCTGACCCTCCATCAGCGTCAAGGTGGGAACATCCAGGAAGAAGACGCTGCCACCTTCAGTGCCCAGGGCGGCCATGTTGCCAGCAGCCACCAGGAGGATCACGGTGATGTGGGCAAGGGTGGGCGGGCCACTGTGGGGGACAGAGAGAGGGGGTGAGGCCACTGTGGGGAGAGGGAGGGAGGGGGTGAGGCGGAGAGAGGGAGGGGGGAGGCCACTGTGGGAGAGGGAGGGAGGGGGGAGGCCACTGTGGGGGAGAGCGGGAGGGAAGTGTGGCTCCTGCTCAGGAGAGCAGAGGGCGCTAACAGCTGCTAGGGCAGCGCACCGAGGCCCTGTGCTCACGGAGACCTCCAGTGGGCCGGCGAACGGGGAAGGCCACGTGGTGGCATCAGAACGAACTCGCTCCATTATGCATCAGGACGTCAGCATGCGGGCGGCGGGGACGGGATAGAGGCAGCTCCTCTGGTCTTGGAGACGGGCTCCCAAGCCCCTCCCACCACCAGGAAGGAAAGGCAGGAACCAGGCTACTCCGCCGGCCCCTGGAGCCTCCTGTCTGCATGCACACACAGCCTGGCAGGATCCTTCTCGCCCCCGAGCTTACCCTTTCGCCTGCACACACTGTGGCCTGTCATCCCGCCCCAGGACACGCCAGGGGATCTGTGCTAACGGGAGCTCAGCTGGGACCGCCCCACACCTGCCACCGCCATGCAGGGAGCGCAGGGCCTCCAGCAGGTGTGGGAGTCTGGGGCCCGGTGCACCTCCCACCTGCACAGCCCACTGCTCCCCTCAGCTCAGCCGCAGCTCCCCTTCAACACCCGCCCCGGCCCTGAAGCCCTTCTCAGTGACAGAGGCTCCAAACGCGGGACCCAGGCTAAGCTCCACAGCCCCCGCCGCCCTAACACAGCCCCTCGGCGACTTCCCGGCCCCACATGCCTTTGCAAAGCGGGGCTCCCCAGGCCTAGCGGCTGGACCCAGCCAAGCCCACCCGTTCCTGGCACCCGTACCCGTACCGGCCAAGCCCACCCGTTCCTGGCACCCGTACCCGTACCGGCAAAGCCCACCCGTTCCTGGCACCTGTACCAGCCAAGCCCACCCGTTCCTGGCACCCGTACCCGTACCGGCCAAGCCCACCTATACCTGGCACCTGTACCCATACCGGCCAAGCCCACCCGTTCCTGGCACCCGTACCCGTACCGGCCAAGCCCACCCGTTCCTGGCACCCGTACCCGTACCGGCCAAGCCCACCCGTTCCTGGCACCCGTACCCGTACCGGCCAAGCCCACCCGTTCCTGGCACCCATACCCGTACCAGCCAAGCCCACCCGTTCCTGGCACCCGTACCCATACCGGCCAAGCCCACCCGTTCCTGGCACCTGTACCAGCCAAGCCCACCCGTTCCTGGCACCCGTACCCATACTGGCCAAGCCCACCCGTTCCTGGCACCCGTACCAGCCAAGCCCACCCGTTCCTGGCACCCGTACCTGTACCGGCCAAGCCCACCCGTTCCTGGCACCCGTACCAGCCAAGCCCACCCGTTCCTGGCACCTGTACCCGTACTGGCCAAGCCCACCCGTACCTGGCACCGTCGAAGCCCAGCCGAGCGGGCAGCTGGAAGCTGAGTGCTTCCTCCAGGTGGGCACAGCCGTTGTGGTGGACGATCTCCCAGAGATGCAGGCTGCTGTCGTCCAGCAGGGTCAGGAGGCGGCCCTAGGGGATGTGCAGAGACAAGACGGGGCTGGTAGGACTGGGAGGGGTCCCAGGGTTCAAAAGCCAGCCAGCAGGGGCACAGGCTCACCTGGCCAGGCAGGAAGTGCATCTGGGTGACTGTGGCCATTTCTCGGTGCAGGCCTGTGAATTCCACACCGGGTGCGCCATAGCTGAGGCAACAGGTCAAGGGCAGAGCAGGCCATTCGGAGAGCTCCCAGCCAGGCTGCCAACCAGAGCCCCTCAGAGTCCAGGCGGCCCTCCCTGAAGACCCCACGCTCAGAACGCAGGCCTCACCAGCTCGGGGAAGGCCTGCTGTGGTGCAACCTCCACACTGTTAGCTATGAGACGGGGCAGTGACTCCCACTTCACGGGGGAAGTGAGAATAAAACATGCTCGGCACACGCGGCCCACTCTCCATCGGCCCCACGTGTCTGTGTGACTGAGCTGGCCCCAGGCAGCGAGGCCAGGCCAGGCTGCTGCTCCCCACAGCTCCAGCTCCAGCCACGGGCGAGAAACCAGCCTCCCGTCAGGCAGGCAGGCTACTGCCCCCGCCCGAGAGGGGAGAGGCCGAGGCCTGTCCATGTCACACACCAGCACTCAGAGGCTTGAAGAGGCTGGGTGACCTGCTTCAAGTGCCTGCACCAGGACCAGAGCCTCAGCCACGCCAGGTTTGGGGGGGACAGGCAGGGCTTAGGAGGCCCAGGGGGAGGGCGAGGGAGAGGTCAGCAGTGCCGCCCGGGAACAATGCAGGAGCCAAGCCGTTGCTTGGAGCTGGAGCTAGGATTCCCGCAGGAGCGGGAAGCACACAGAAGAGGGGACAAAAGAGGGGGCAGGAGTGCTGGGCAGGACCCAGAGTCACCGAGGAGACGGGGGGAGGGGCGCCTGTGTGTGCAAGGCCTCCTCCTCAAGCCTCAGTTTCCCAGCCCAGGGTGGCTCGGGGGAGGAAGGAGGGACTGGGGAGAGCTCTGGCCTCCGCTGAGGCTCTCCCAGACGTCCAGCGCGTTCTTTGTGAGCACGGGAAGCCCGTGCCCAGGAAGACAGGGCACAGGAGGGCCAGCGCGAGAGGCTGACAGACATGACATGGGCACCAAGCGACACCACCCGCGGAGCACAGCACGTGGGCGGGGCGCCCCTGAGGGCTGGGCGCAGCAGGCCAGGAAGTGAGGAAGTGGATGCGGATGGTGCTGGGGGAGCACCTGGCCCCGCCACACCCCCTGGCGTAGGCAAGCTCACCAAGTGCAGGTCCCGATGCCCGCCCTCCCTCCTCTCTACAGGCACTGACTCATTTTGTGCACCCGATGTCCCTCATGAGGACACGGAGACCCAGAGGGTGACGTGGGGAGGGGTGGGGTGCACCTCACTCCAAGCAGGTGCCAGTCAGTCTGCACCTCTGTTTCCCGGAGGGAGGGAGGGAAGGAGGGAGGGCTTCACTCCGGGCAGGGGAAGTGTGATGCTCCATTCCAGGCAAGAAGCATCCAGCTGTCTGCTTGCCCCCACCCGCCTGGCTGACAGGGAAAATGCCCGCTTTGTGCGGCACACACAGCCCATTGTACGACCGCCGGCAGCCAGGTGGGGGCCGAGCTGCGCTCCCCATGCAGAGCCTGGCACTGCCCCCAGCCCGCAGCTGGACACGTGTCTCACATTGGTACACATGTGTAGCCGGTCACCAGGGAAAACCCACTTACGTGACCCTGGCCCACCCACCAACCTTGACCGGTACAAGACTGACCAGTCCCCGGCCCAGCCCCCCGTCGCAGTTGCGGGGACATGAAAAGCAGGGTCGCCTGGGTAACTGGCCGGCTGAAATGCAGTGAGGACGCCGAGCCCCCACCCCATCATCTCCGTGAGGAGGCATCTGAGGGCAGAAGCGCACCAGCCTCCCCAGGGTCCAGATGCCTCCGCGGCTCCCAGGCCGGGCTGCCCGGAGAGCCAGCGCACAGGCAGCTGATGCAGGGGGTCCTTGCAGCCCCGAAGGCTGTGCCCGCAAAGGATACATCTTGACGGCCCCCGACCTGGTGCCGATGGCCATGATGCGAAGCTCGGGGTCGAAGGCCAGGGCGCTGGGCTGGTTGGGGAAGCCATGCTCCACGGTCTGCGGGGGAGGGGGACACTCGCACAGGCCCCGCTGCCCTGGCCCGCCCAGGCCCACCCTGGCAGCCTTCAGGCTCTGCGGCTGCCGTGTGCCAGGAGCCAGGACTCAGCGGTCCCGCGCTCCGCGCCTGCAGCCTGAGGACACTGTGAAGTGGCAGTCCTGCCTCCAGGGGTAGCCAAGCCCCCGGCCCTGCACTGGGGCTCCAACAGGAGAAACACCAGGAAGCACTGCCCCAGGGGCTCTGCCCTTAGACCCAGAGGCACGGCCTGAAGCTCGGGGAGGCACCATGCGGTCTCCCCCCCCCCCCCCCCCCCGAAGTCCATGGCACTTCCCAAACACGGGCTCCACGTGGTCAGAGGCCAACCCCCAAGGCCATCTAGGAAGAGGCTCTTGAGTCAGAGACAGGAGCTTCCTGCAGGCCCTGGAGGTGTCACCACCCCCAGACTTGGTTCCCAGCTGGAAGCTGAGCAGCACGTCCCAGCCGCCTGAGGCGGTGGCGAGAGGCTGGGCGCGCGGGGATAATGCAGTGGCTTCCCCTGGTCCTCGCTCCCAAGTCCCAGCGCAGACCAGTCCCACTCCTCCAGCCCAGAAAGTTCACCCTCCTCCCCGAGGCCGAGCTGGGGCCTCTGCTGGGATGCCTATACCCCAACCCATGTCCTCAACACCAAGTGGGACCCCACCTGAGGGCACAGATCGTCCTGACCGCTGCCTCAGCCAGACAAGCTTTATAAGGAACCTCATCGCCCCGACATGTGGCTCAGTGGCTGGAGCGTTGTCCCACTCCAAAATGGTGTGGGATCCTTTCCTGGGCAGGGCACACACCCTAAGTTAAGGGTTCGATACCCAGTTCGGGTACAGATGGGAGGCAAGTGATTGATGTTTCTCCACCACATTGTTTCTCTCTCTCTCTCTCTCTCTCTCTCTCTCAAAAGGGAGGGAGGGGAGGGGAGGGGAGGGCAGGGGAAGGGAAGGAAGAAGAGCAGAGGGGAGGGGAGGAAAGGAAAAAGGAAAAGGAAAAGGAAAAGGAAAAAAAAAAAGCAACAAACCCCGATCCCCAGGTCTCCAGGTCTCTTGCCTCAGCCTCCCTCCTGCTCGGCTCTCCTGGCAGGGACTGAACACTCTGGGCAGCTGGCATGGCCTTGGGCCAGTCACAGCACTCTCCAAGCCTCAGTTTCCCATGGAGCACCGGGGACAGGGAGTCACTTGAAGACACAGTTGCCCATTTGGCTGAGGGTGGGGGGGGCAACTTCCCTCTCCCACCAGCACTGCCATGCCAACACTGGACTGACTGGCCAGTCCCCTCCTCTGCCCAGGAACCCTCCGCCCCCGGGCTCCCAGCTACCCAGAGAAGGTAAGGCCTCACATCTGGACTTGTCTTCCTCCTCCCACTCTCGCCCCCTCTCGCTTAATTCTAGGCCCAGTGGCCCTTTGATCTCCTCCAATTTACTAGCAGCTTCCTGCCTCAGGGCCTTTGCATCTACTGTCCCTCTACCTGGAATGTGCTTTATCCTGCACTCCCCATCATCGGGTCTCAGTTCGGGCACCAGCTCCTTAGAGGGCCCTACGCCATCCTGGCTACAGCAGCCATCCCTGCTCACGTGCTCCAGGCCCTCACAGTACTGGCCACCATCCAAACTGCTGCACATCTTACTCTTCTGTTTTGGCTTTTCACTATCTCCTCCCTATGGCATCAGCCCTGGATGAAGAGGATTGTCCCTTTTGTCCTCAGCACCTAGAACTCACCCGGTCAGAGCTCAGTGTCAGTGGACATCCCCCCACAGGCAACGTGCAGACAGGCCTGGGATGTGGGCCCAGGACTGAGTCCAGAGTTGATGTCTGCCCCTGGCCCCCAACCCCACTAGAGAACCTGGGTCTGATCGCTCTTATTTTATTTACCTTGTTTAATTTTGGCATCTATCCTCTAGTGATCATTTACCACTCCCCCTGGTGAGCCAGCCCCTTGTCCAAGACCACCTCCCTCCTGCCTCTGCTGCCCACTCAGAACGGGCCCTCTCTCCTCAGTGGGGAGCCCTCACCTTTTGCCCATCCAGGACCAGCCGGGCACGGAGCCTCCTAGCCTCCCACCTTCTGCGGCATGTCCTCACTTCACACCCAGTCACTGGCTGGGGAAGTGACACCTTAGCTCATTCTCTCACCCGCAGGCTCTCCCTCTCAGCCACGCACAGGAGGGGCCCGGAGCGCCTTCCCTCTGGGCTGCAGGATTCTGGCAGGCTCTTGGAGAGTCTGAGGGTCCTGGCAGCAGCCCTCCACCCCTCAGAACCCTGCCTGTGACAGGAGATGCCCTGTGCCTTAACCACTCCACGTCCAGCCATCAGAGCTTTCTCCTGGACAAGAGTCTCTTCTGGGACCACAGTAGCCCCGCAAAGCTGAAGTCAAATCCCTACCAATAAGGAGGACAAAGTGACCGGTTCTATCTGTGACTTTGGGCAAGTCTCGCCTCTCTGAGACTCCCTTCTCTCACCTGTGTGACAGGGACAACTCCGATTCCCAGAGCAGCCGGTGCAAGCAGCTGGACTCATACCCTGGGAGGAGTTAGCAAGGGGCATGGCCGGGCAGAGGGAGGAGGGGGCTGAAGGAGGTCTTACCCAGGGAAAAAAGGAGGGCAGCCCTCCATCCCGCCTCGGCCTAGGTTGCATGGCCTAAATGGCACAGGAAGCCACAGCAGGGAGAGAAGTGGCTCCATGTCAAGGGAAACTGAGGCCCACGACCTGAAGTGCGGTTGGGTACACAGCCCTGGAGTCCCCACCTTGCAGGGCAGGGAGAGCAAGGAAGAGTCGGGAGCCCTGGGTGAGGGAGGAGAGGAACATGGAAGGGATTTCCCAGCCCTACCGCTCCAACATCTGCCCCCTCTCCCCACCCCTCCCGCTCCACCTGGGTGTGAAAGCAAACAAACCCGGCCCTGCGCTGCCCCAAGGCGGGCAGGGGTGCGGAGGAGCCTCCAAGAGGGGTAAGAAGACAAAGTGAGAATTCGAGAACCCCACACAGATGGAGGGGCAGCAGGAAGAGGATGCAGAGAAACAGGCAGAGACGAAGGGAAACGGAGAGGAACGCAGACACACAGGGACCGAGGCAGGGACCCCCGCCCTCCGGGCGGGCGAAGGCTGAGCGCGGGGAGGCGGTGGAGTCGGAGGGCGGGGCAGAGCCCCGGAGACTCGCAGAGCCCCGGGAGGAGGGCCGGCGGCCCGCGGCCCCGGAGAGGCACACCGGGAAGTCGGCGGAGACCCGGGCACTGGGACTGGCGCAGGGGCGGAGGCGAGAGGGCAGCCGCCGGGGAGCGTCCAGCCCGCGCACTCCCGCCGGGCGCTCCCTCCCCGCGGCCCTACGTGGCTGCGGCGCCCGGGCCCCCAGCCCCGGCCCGCGCCCTCCCGCCCGGCCCGGGCCCCCAGCCCGCACCTTGTTGAAGGCGAAGAGCTCCTGCTTGAGCTTCTCGCGCTGCGGGTCAGCGCCCTGCCGCCGGAACCGAAACTTCATCATCTTGCGTCCCTCCGCCCGGCCGCGCCCGCCGCCGCCGCAGCCGCCGCAGGATGCGCCGCACGGCCCCGCGGGTCCCGAGGCGCAGGCGGGGCGCCGGGAGGTGCGCCTGGCGGCCTGGGCTCGGGCGTGCGGGGCGGAGCCTCCGGGGGGCGGGCACAGGACGCGAGTGAAGCACGACTCGGCCAATGGGCTTGCCCGTGCGCCGTCCGTCCCGCCCCCGCCGGCTAGACAACGGGAGGAACTGGGCTCCAACGCTGCCCCGGGCTCGCGAAGAGACGCCGGCCGAGCTAGTGCCGCAGCGCGGAGCCTGCCGGGACTTGTAGTCTCAAAGCCGAGGATCCAGTGTGGATGGCTGGGCGAACTTTAGAAGGGGCTGGAGCATGCTCCCCACCCTGGAAGAAGCCTTTTCTCACCTCTAACTAGTGAGCGACATGCATATTCAGACACTGAGGTTGCCCTATCCCGAAAGCCAGGAGAGTTCTGACTGGTGCAACTCCCCGGCCCCTCAGCCCGTTTCCCCATCTATGCCATTGACCCAATGTGTACCAGTTTTTTGGGACACCATTTTGACTGTTCTCCACTGTACCAAGACGCCTCCCACCGACATGCTTTTTGCCCTTGGTGTGTGGTCAAGAGCTGAGTGGAGACCACAGGAAGGCCCTTAGTCCCCAAGCCCCTGGGGAACTCCTACACATCCTTCAGGACCCGACACAAAAGGCTCTATGTGGCAGCTCAGGGATTCTTAGGAGGTCCATCAGCCCAAGGGCCAGCAAAGCGGAGAGGGTTTTCCTCAGGAGGGGACAATTGGGAGGGTCCTGAGATTAGATTTGAGCTTTTCCAAGATAGGGCAAAGGCCTTCCCTGTGCTGGAAACTATATAAATATAACTGTGCCTGCCTACAATTTCTGGGGGACAATGGAATTGTCCCCACCTACCTCCCAGCTCTTTTTCTCATCTGGACAACCACCTCAGCCAGGCTGACGATACACTGCCCTTGGCTAAGGGCTGGACAGGTCTCAGGTCCCAGTCCCATGAAACTTAGATGGGGGAGGGCAAACCTGGCCCCATTCCCACCAGCTATGTTAAGGGAGACTTCTGACCCTCAGAGGCAGCTGCCAAGCAAAAGGGGCCTGGCTGTCCCTCTCCGTCCAGGCAGCCCTGCCTAGCACTCCCCTGGGTTGGGGCTGCATCTGGAAGAGGGACAGGTGAGGGGGCAGGGTGGTGAGAAGAGGAAAAATGTAAGGCACCACTCAAAACTGACTCACTGCTCTCAAAAGCTCTGTGCAGGAGTCCCAATGCTGCTTCCACACAGTGAGGGTCACAGGCAAAGATGTGTTAGGAATTTGTTAGTTCATCTCCCAACTTCGCCATTTAGAAGCTGAGCAGCTTGGAGCAAATTACTTAAGCTCTCTTGCCTCGGTTTCCTCATCTGTAGAAATGTGGATACTAGCACCTACCTCAAAGACTGTTGTGAAGATGAGATGAATTAGTACTTGTAAAGCCCT